ATAAGAAAATAAAAGAACCAACGAGAGTATGGATAAAACGAGATATCAAGCAGTGGAGGCTCAAAGGTGACTTAGAAGCTATATTTTCAATAGCAAAATTAATTGTAGGTGTCTAGGTTGCTCTAGCTGTAGTTTGCTTACCTGCCTCCCATCTCTGGCTGGTCTCTATGACTTGTATTTCGCAGCTAAGGTCAGGGACTTTGAATTTGGTTGAAACTAAGAATCTCAAGTCTAGGAGCCTTATTCTAGAATAGATTCTTAGTGATAAAATAATATAATAGCGTCAGTTTTATTGTGTATTAATCATATCCCTGAAAATGTATGTGTATTTTTATATGCCCTTTTTAAATTGCCTTGAGCATTAATTAGTAATCCACTGAAAGTTTTTACTTTTACAGTATAAATTAGCCAAAAAGTCAAAAGCTTGAATTTTAAACCAGAATTCTTTATCTAATGTAATATAAGTAAAGTATAAGTCATGCCAAATCCCAGTGAAGACTAGGATGACTCTGACTATAGTTAAATGAGACGTGATCTTCTGGTGCATATATCTCCAAAAAAAGTAGTAGTTTCAAAACGAGACATCATTCCTGGCAAGTTTGTATTAGCGTCTCCCAAGAAATGAACTTTTTGTTTCCTAGTCTTAAATTTTAAGAGCTTTATGCTGCTTCTATATTAGATAGGTATGTACAATTGAAGCTTGAGCACTAATTTTTTTTTTAAATTCACAACTTTAAAGGTCTGTCTTGCTCATTTGTCTTTCTTAAAATAAACTAAAATAATAATTTCAGGATTTCATTTCTTTCTAACTTCCTATATGAAACATAATTTTTAACTGTCAGCTTTAAAAACAGATAGATGATGGCCTCCATTAGTAAGACTCCAGCCATAGCCCTGATCCTGGCTTCTTTCTTTGGTTTCTCTTGTCCTAGGCCTGTCCAAACTACCTGTCAGTAGATGATAACCTTTTTAAAATATAGGGCCCTTTCTTCAAGGTACCAGCTGTTATTTCTGATGCGGCTGTGTTTCACTGTGCTGCTTGCTTATTCTCTCCCACATATGTAGGGTCTCTGCATTCTGTTATACTTGCCAGATATTTGTATGTATGTATACATAGAAACCAGATCTTTTTAAAGAACTAGTCTTATTTTCATGGTATTATTTTTAACTGTATTATAATTCCTAATCATAATGCATGGTTCTAGATAATTCAGTAATAGGTTACATGTGATAGCTATACATTAGATACGAAGAAGAAAATTATCCCTCATTAAGATAAATTAATACGTTTGGAATGTGTTTTAAAAATATAATCGATAATTTTTGCCCAATATATGAATTTTAAGAGTCTGATCACCTTGATTAATTTTATAGATTGTAAGTGTGTATGGGTATGTGAAAGTGTGTGTGTACATGTGTGTATACAGAGTTTTGACTGCTAAGTTGGAAACATAGAAGGGGGAAATAATTACCAAGATTTCTGGCAGAGCACATAATTAGAGTATAAGAGCTCCCCAGCCTGTCAGAAGCAGTTATTTGAAGAGCTTATCTGTCACTCTGAGAAGTTACTTTTACATAAGACAGAAGGCAGGTAGCCTATATCCTGAAACAGTTTTACTTTTCTTTCTTCTGCTACCTTTGTGTGGACTACAGACCTCCAACCCAGGTATACACGTGGACTCCCTTCTTGTCTCTGTCTTCCTCCTGTTCAAAAGTTAGGGAGAGGTTGTGCTCAAACACCCAGTGAAGTCTGGCAACTAAGACAGGGTGGGGACTCAAGTGGATTGGAGTACCCATCCCCCATCAAAAAGTAGCTGCTGTCACTTGGCTGTATCTACTCTTTGACAATTGGTAATGGAGACCCATTCCTTCCAAAGCTTACAGATTTTTCAATCTGAAAATCCAGATTTGTATTGTATATAATTATTTTTACAATTTATTTATTAGATTTGTATATAAATTTTTAAAATATGGTCATTGATTCACATTGTTTTTACAAAGACAATGGATGGCCATAATTGGTTTACAAGCCATGAATTTATAACCACTGTTCTAGGACAATGATTTTTAATTAGAAGTACACAGTAAAAATCACCTCTGAAACTTCTTTGACAATATGTGCCTAAACTCTTATCCTCAGAAACACAGATTTAACTGCTTAAGCCAAATACCATTATATCAGTGTTATCTCTCTGGAGTGTAACTGAGCAATGCTATGATTATGCCCATACCCATGAGGTTTGGCTGACTTAGATATTATACAGTAGATCAGGCTTAGGTTTGTCCTGTTATATATTTTGGTACTATATTTAGACCATTAGACCAAGAATAAGTGAAGTTACTCCTGCATTTCCATCTGATCCCAACCTGGTACCCTCTCCACTCAGTTTTCTGGATAAATGCATCCTGAGTATGATAGTTGTTTGTACAATCAGTGGGGGTGGGAAGCTTCTAATCGTCTTACCTAAATGATTATACTTAGACCTAAGTTAGGTTGGAGACCTATTGTTCATTGGATATGGAGTCCAGTAACTTCTGGTTTTTGATAAGTTTGGGAGACTTTATTCACTGACTTTTAGAAATCTTGAGTTCTGTCAAAGGATGTCCATTTTGATCTTTTGTAATCCATTTAGGAGACCCTGGTGGAAATCTGTATTCTAGATCCTGGAAACATTTCCTTGGAGTAGCAACATTTAAATGTATTGTCCAAGAGGCTTGGGTTCTTGGCAGTGGAAAGTAGTAGAACAAAAACCTGCTATGTTTTGGACCTGGGATCCCTGCCTAAAAGCAGGTGTCAGTGAAGCTTTTGCTGAAAAGAAGGGTGTTTTTGTGTTTGTGTGTGTGCTGATGAGTCATAGACCTATCAGAATTTAGAACATTTGTGCCCTGAGATACTGGTATGCAAATGTCCAGGCCAATTGGGCACTATTGTTTACTTACTGAGTGGTTATATTTTATCAAACTAGAAAATTTGAGAACTCTTTTCCTTAGGAGAAATACACCCCACACCCAAAAAAGCAAATTCCCTAGAAAACCATATAATGACATCATTCATTGTTAATCCCCATATCTACTAGGTTTCTAGTAGCCAACCTCTAAACAAGTTCCCACATCTTCTAATAGAGAATATATCCAAGGATCACTCTGTCAGTGACCTTTCTATTATCTTGGGCTAAATTATGCTGTGCTTGCAAATGAGTCAAATTTACAGGAACTTAAAACAACAAATGCTATTTCTCTCTTACGTTTATCACTGCTTCACAGTATCTTCATGCTAGGTCTTAGGGTGACAGTAGTCCCTGTTTGAATGTGACCAGTCTCATGGCCAAGGGAAGGAAAGAAGCATAAGGAATCGTGTGTTTTTTAAAGCTCCCTTCCAGAAGTAACACTTACTAGACTGGGGGTGTAGCTTAGTGGTAAAGCCCTTGCCTGGCTTGTGCAAGGCCCTGAATTTGATCCCCAACTGAAGAAAAAAAAAATTATACGTATCACTTCTATCTACACCTCATTGGCCAAAGCAAGTCACATGGCCAAACCTGATGTGAAGCCAGGTGAGTGTAAGGAATATTTTGAAAAATGATAAAATCTAACACAGTTTTACTTTCTCAAGTCTTTAAGGCCTAGTGTTAGGCATCTGTTGTCAGTCAACAAAACTGAGTAGATACTAAGTGAAGTATGTATCTGAATTCCACAGCCACAGCCATGTGGCTTGATATACAGATATACAGAGTTAAAACTCTTATCTGTCCTTAGGCAATGAGATCATAATCCTTATGTTTCCCCAGAGGGCCTCCTGCCATCTCAGAGGTAGATGATAACCTCAGTGGTGGTCAGTGCTCTTGTGGAGAACTATTTTTCCCTTTCCTGTTCTTTAATATCTTCCAAACTCAATATCTATAGTGTCCACTTCCAAGGGAAACAAAACCTCTGGTTCCCCCTTCTGGCCTTTGTGGAAAACTCAGATAGTATTATATATACTGTGATTGTTCTTAACATCTACAATTTCTACCTTGAAATTTCTCCTATAATATCTAGTTTTTTCTATCAATTCCTGCTGCCACAAGTTGAGGGTTATGCTCCCTAATGTTAATTGTATTTTTGCGTTCTTACCTTAAATTATGTATCTGACACTTATTTCATCCAGTTTTGTCTCTTCAGTGATGATCTCTGCCCTATTATAATCTTGTTACATTATTAAGTTACATTCCTTGAATCATGTTAAAGAAAATAGGCCAGCTACAGTGGTGCATACCTGTAATCCCAACAATTCAGAGAGCTGAGGGAAGATGACTGTAAGTTTGAGGCCAACCTGGACAACCTAGCTAGATCCTGACTCAAAATAAAAAGAGCCAGGGGTGTAACTCAGTTGTAGAGCACCTCTGGCTTCAAAAAAAAAAAAAAAAAAAGAATAGGCCAAATATTTCAGTTGTTTTGTGTGTGGCACAGCCCACTTCTCAGGTTTGATTTCTCTTTGCCTACCTTATTCTCTAACCATGACTACACTGAAAACCTTAAAATATATATATTTTAGAAAGTTATGTGAAATGCTAAAACAAAATAACATATCTTCATAGGAATATTTTTGAAGTACATTTTATCATAATTATTTACTGATTTGGAAAAGAAATTAACTTTTCTACTTAAAAGGTAAAGTTTTTATTAAAAGTGGTACTGGGCTGGGATTGTGGCTCAGTGGTAGAGCGCTCGCCTAGTAAGGGTGAGACCGGGGTTCGATCCTCAGCACCACATAAAAAAAAATAAATAAATAAAGGCATTGTGTTCTGTCCATCTATACCTAACAAATAAAATAAAATATTTACTTATAAAAAATAATAAAATAAAAGTGGTACTTTCAGATAATTATGGTATTTAAAGCCTGTCTCCGCCTAGAAATTGTAAATATTTGGGTTATTTGATTTGAACTTTTAAAAAAATATATTTTTAAAAAATAATTGTGTGAGACAACTTCTAAAATATTTTTTCCCTTTTTTTTTTCCTAGATCACAAGAAACACCTGAAGATGGGCAACCCCCAGCTTTACCACCTAAACAATCTAAGAAAAATAGTTGGAACCAAATTCAATACTCACATTCTCAGCAAGATCTGGAAAATCATACTAATGAAGCATTTGATATACCATCTTCCCCTGAAAAATCTACTGTAAGAAGCTTCTTTACATATTCTCACTTTTCCTTCAATTTCTCAAATCCAAAATTGAGTTTCTTTTGTACTTTAGCATATTTTAACTATAAATTTTATTATAGTACCTCGTCTTTTTCATGATATTCTTTAGTCATAAATTATCTTTTTCCCCTAGGCATAGAGGTGTATACCTATAATCCCAAGTCTTCAGGAGGCTGAGGCAAGAGAATTGCAAATTCTAGGCCAGCCTGAGTAATTTAAAGAGACCCTGTCTCAAAATAAAATAGAATCAGGGCCAGACGTGGTGGCACATGCCTGTAAACCCGGTGATTTTAGAGGTTGAGGCAAGAGGAGCCTCAGCAACTTAGTGAGACCCTGTCTCAAAATAAAAAAGGAATGTGGCTCAGTGGTTATGTGCCCCTGGGTTCATTCCCTAGTGTAAAAAAAGAAGGAAAGAAAGAAAATTCCTTTTTCTTTGGGGGTGGCTGACTAATGCAAAACATATCTACACTTCCAGAACAAATGTTAATAATCCATTAATTACCACTAATTTTACTACATAATTACTTAGAGAAGAGACTTTATCTTTTTCATCATCTTTTGAAATTGAGTACAGGTTTTTAGAAGTATTTTAGTGCTTTTGCCTTAGAGAATATGCTTTTACCACAATAAAATGGTGAGTTGGTAGAATACCCTGGTTTATGAATTTTCATTGCTTTTTCAAGTAGATTTAAATAATCCATAAGTGAGATTGTCAGTATATTTTGAGGAAATACTGTGCTCCTGAAGAAATTTAAAAACAGATAACTATTGGTGTGTTTCAGGAAACTTAAGAGACATCAAGGAATGGAATAAGATGTAAAGAAGGGAAGGACCACAGCAGATATTGGCATGTATGCCAAAAGCCTGCAGTGGCCATTACACTCATTGCTCTATTGTTTCTTCAACCATACATTGCCTCTCATATTATCTGAAGTTGAAATTGAAAGGCAACCATTCTCTTATCCCACACTTACTGCTCCAATACCATGGATATAAAAAATAGATGAGAATCCTTACAAAAACTGAAAAAGTGGGCAAGGGTTGTAGCTCAGTGGTAGAGCGCTTACCTAGCATGTGTGAGGCACCAGGTTCGATTCTTATCACCACATAAAAATAAGTAAATAAAAATAAAAAAGAACTCTAGTACTACCTCTGTGGTCACTTGCATATCATTTGTTCATGCATTCATTCATAGTCATTGAGTTCTTGCTGAATGCTGGGCACTTTGATGGTAGGAGATATGCAAGGACAAATAAAACATGGTCCCTGCTGTGACATAATTTATAATCTAGATTGCTTGTTTCTTTCTTTTTTTTTCTTTTTTTGTACTAGGAATTGAACCCAGGTGCACTTAACCACTGAGCTACATCCATAGCCTCTTTTTTTAATTTTTAAATTTAGAGATAGAGTCTCACTAAGTTGCTTAGGGCCTCACTAATTTGCTGAGGCTGGCTTTGAACTTGAGGATTAAATAGTAAGTAAGATATAAATAATTCAAATATATAGCATACTAATTTAAATGCTAGAGAGGAAAAATAAAGAAGGAAAGGTGTTTAGGGAATTTCCAGAAGTCTTCTTACAATTTTAGATAATTTGAGCTAGGAATGAAATTTGTGATAAGCCATGTAACTATCTAATGGAATACCAGATACAAAGACAGATGTCTTAGTTCATTTTCTGTTGCTGTAACTGAATACCACAGACTGGGTAATTTATAAAGAATAGAGGTTTATTTAGTTCATGGGTCTAGAGGTTGGGAAGTTTAAGGACATAGTACTTTCATCTGGTGAGGACCTTCTTGCTGCATCATATTATAGCTGAGGCCATTGCATGACAAGGTAGAGCAAGTGTGCTAGCTCAGGTCTCTTCATCTTGTAAAGCCACTAATGCCATAATAGGGGCCGCACCCTCATACATCTTCCAATCCTAATTTCCTTTCCAAGAGCTCACGTTTAAATACCATTAATATATGAATTTGGGGATTTTGTTGCTAGCATGTGAACATGTGAACTTTAGGAGGACACATTCAAACTATAGCAACAAGAGTATGATTGAGGGGCTGGGGCTGGGGCTCAGCAATAGAGTGCTTGCCTCCCATGTCTGAAGCCCTGGATTCAATCCTCAGCACCACATAAAAATAAATAAACAAAATAAAGGTATTGTGTTCAACTACAACTAAATATATATATATAAAAAGAGTATGACTGATATAGTCAAGGGATACCAAGGGAGACAGTGTGGCTACAGAAAGAGTAGTAAATGAGGAGACAAGCTAGATTCTCAAAGACTTCTGTTAGAAGGATTTTTTGTTTTAACCCTGAGTGAGATAGGAAGTAAATGGACATATCTGAGAAGAGAGGTAACATGATGTCCATGTAGGTTTTTATGGTATCGCTTTGGCTGTATTTCAAGTAGACTGAAAGCAGGGCAGAGGAAGAGATACTGGTTGTGAGGCATTGCAGTATTTCCATCATGTAATGGTGATTTGGACCAGGGTGATAGCAATACAGGGGATGAGAGATGACTGTCCTCTGGATGTATTTTTAAGACATGATATGCTCATGGATTAGATGTGGAGTACTACAGAAAGAAATCAAAGATAATGCCAGTGTTTTTATTGAGATGTGAAAGGCTGCAGATGAAGCAGGTACAGTTAGAATGTCAGGAGCTCAGTTTAGAATGTGTTAAGTTTGAAATGTTTATTAGGAATCCTTTTGGAGATGAGGACGATTGGATATATGATTCTGGACTTGAAGGGTGAGGTCTAAGCCAGAGTTATAACATTGGCATATAGTGGTATTTAAAACCACAAAATAGAGAAATCACCAAGAAAGTTTATGTAAATAAAAGGTTCTGGATACCAAGCCTTCCATCCTTCAATTTTAAAAAATGAAGGAACTGAAAGGAACCCTCAAAGGAGACTGAGAAAATGCAGATAGAAAGGTAGAAGGAAAAGTGGGCAAGTGAATTTATCAAATATCACAGGTAAGTCAAGTAAGATAAGGACTGAAAATTGAACCCTAGATTCAGCAATGTGAAAATCTTTGGTGTCCTTAATTAACAGTTGTGATAGATTGGTGGGGATGAAAATCTGAGAAGTAGGATGGGATTAGAGGAAATAGAGACAGGAATTTCTTTCAGTTTGCTGGTGTTCTTATTAATATAGTGGCAAGAAGGCATGAGAGAATATAACAGCAAGTTATTATTCAAAGAAATTTATTTTCTTAAACTAACATTTTGAGTAGAATTATGATTCTTTATATTCTGTAGATAATAAAAGCAAATGAAAAGCATGCTTTATGTATGTCTGTAGGATAAACTATAAATGCAGAAATTTATATATTATTTTATTTTTGTCTTTTCAAGCCTAATGGTGGTATTCCACATGATAATCTTGTTCTAATCAGAATGAAACCTGATGAAAATGGAAGGTTTGGATTCAATGTAAAGGTAAGCTGGAATTTATATTGTATTCAGTTTTTACATTAAGTTGTCTTTATTTTGACAATATTTGACCAATACTTTTCTTGTTTTCTTTTCAAGGGAGGATATGATCAGAAGATGCCTGTAATTGTGTCCCGAGTAGCACCAGGAACACCTGTAAGTTATAGTATACTAGCAGCAGCTTCAAGCCAAGTTCTATAACACCAATTCCAATACCTCTGTCTGTGTCTATCTTGTTCTCCCTTGATCTCTATCAGTTGTTGCTCCTGAGTCTCTACTAGGCAGAAATTGCACAGCTATTGCCACTATTCTAATCCTCAATTCTCAGTGTTAGGCGTGAGATTTGTATATTACCAGCTCAGTAACCCAGAGTGACTAAACCTCTCAGTCTAATTTGTAAACCCCTAAGAAGTAAATCCTCAATAAATCAAGCTTCGATCAGATATCTTTGTTTGGAAAAACTCAAATTATTATTCAGAGATGCATATGAAGGTTGGGTGAAGTAGCCCCAAATTATTTAATCAATAGGAAAGTTTATGTGTTTGAGATTACAGATGAGGAAATAAATGTTTGCTAAATTCTCATCTGCATCTGTCATATAGAAAGTTTATAAATAACATGTAAAATAGAAAAAAAGGGAAATGTTATTTAGAGATAGAGGTTAAAAAAATATACAAAAAGATGTAGCTAAAATATTGAAAGTTGTTACTTCTAGAGACAGGAAGATAAATGGTAAGGAGAAACACAGAAACTTTCATTCTCTCTCTCTCTCTCTCTCTCTCTCTCTCTCTCTCTCTCTCTCTCTCTCTCCCTCCCTCCCTCCCTCCCTCCCTCCTTCCTTCCCTCTCTCTCTCTCCCTCTCTCCAGGGGGCTGAAGGGGGGGCACTTAACTATCCATATCCCTATCCCTTTTTTATATTTAGAGCCACATTCCTATCCCTTTTTTATATTTATTTAGAGACAGAGTCTCTCTGAGTTGCTTAGGATCTCACCAAGTTGAGGCTGGCTTTGAACCTTGCCAAGTTGAGGCTGCCTCAGACTCCTGAGCTGCTGGAATTACAGAAGAAATGGTTTCTAATAATCTTATAGACACAGTCAGATTTTTAAATTGTGATTAATAACTTTTTTAAAACTGATTTTTAAAATTTAAAAATTATACCTTTTGATCTGACAATTTGACTTTTAGGAATTATTTCTAGTGGAATAATTAAACTACCGAACAAAAATACACAAGAATGTTCATTATGATATGAAATTGAAAAAATCAAAATATGTGTCATTAAAATTAGTGGAATAAATTATGCCTTGCTTTACTGCTATTAAAATGATGCTGTGTCTCTGTAAATACAGAAATATATCCACAAAATGGTCTTACTGAAAATTACATTATAAATCTACATATATGTTTGAACCCAGTGTATAAAAATGTAAATTGTATAGAAAAAGTCTGGAAACATGCAAAAAATGTTACTGTGTTTTGCCTGGATAATGGAATTATTGGAATTCTTGCATTTTTCTTTATTCCTTTTTTAATTGTTCAAAACATAACGATCAATATGTATTGTTCATATTATTAGAAAAGATAGTATACTTTATTTAAGTCTAAGATGTTCAGGGAACATTCTATAGATCAACACAATTCTGTGACTCCCAAATTCTCTTCTTAAGCTATACAAATTAGAGTTTTGTTGTCGTTTTGTCATTTTATACATTCACGTTCTCTCTCTCTCTCTCTCTCTCACACACACACACACACACACACACTTTTTTTCACAGCACTGGGGATTGAACCCACAATTGCTCTACCACTGAGTTACATCCTCAAGCCTTTTATTTTAAGATAGGGTCTTGCCAAGTTGCCCATTCTGGCTTCAAACTTGCAATTCTCCTGCCTCAGCCTCCTGGGTAGCCAGGATTATAGGCATGTGCCACAGGCTCATTTTATATTATTTTATTAATTTCAAGACCAACACAGTCTTCGAATTAGAAATCACATTTTTAGATGACTTGGAGGTGTTATGTCTATTGCCCATTTTGTTCTGGGGGGGGTAGGTTGCCAAGAGACCAAGAAAGAAACTCAGAGATGTGATATGAGATACAGGATTTATTAAGAAATGCTTATGGGGGAGGTTCAGTGGCAAGCAGCTAGACGGATTCTTCTCCATAAAGGCCTGTGGTGATAAGCTCAACAAGTGTACCTCTGCTTTGTCCCTGGGCAGTGCTTCTCTCTCCAAGGTGCTCTGATTTGTACCAGTTACCACAGGAGGGAAGGTATAGGTTTTATAGGTTTAGTTACAGAAGCAGAATCAGCTTAGCTTGCTTTGTCCAATTGTATGACCAGCATACCAAGGAGCAGCTGTCCTGGCATGTGTGAAAAAAAAAAAAAAAAAATGGGTTTCTACAGATAATGCTAACTTGCCCTGATTCCCAGCATACATCTCAGAGAGCCAAGTGTCCCTCAAGATAATATGTATCTGGACATCCTGGCCTAGACCCAATTTCATTGTTCCTTTTATTTCATTTGACTGGGTTTTAGGGAACAGAAGGGAGCATTCAGGGACATTGTATTTTATCAACCCCCTTTTCTTAAAAATGATACAAGGAGAAACAGAATTTCAAGTATTCTGATGTTTTTTTTTCTATTTTGGACACCTCTGAAATGGATAAATTCCAATGAAAAAGAATCATGTTTTTCTTTCTGGTCTGATAATCTTTTAGTCAGTGGCTATTGCTCCATCAAATTCATTTTAATATGTTCTTTATTTAAATTTTCAGAATCAGAATAAAATATAAATAAGAATTTATTTCTGAAAGAAGGCAGGCTAAGTATGAGTTTCCTTCAATAATAATAGGTGCAGTAAGGGATACTTATAGTTATCTCTAACAGACCATCTGTTCTTTTCTACCAACTACACCATCCACAAAGTAATATAAAAAGATAGCTCTTTCTTCTACCATTAGCTCCCACTCCATCTCACTTCAGGTATTCCAAAGACATTTAGAAAAACTTGGAACCAAATTGGTATGCAGAAGCATTACACTGCTAATGCAAAGAGAATATATGAAATCTGTCTTCTACTTTACTACAGAAGTAGAGAGAAAAAAGCAACTGGAGAGAATGAACATAATCTTACTTTTTTGTTTGTTTTTGTTTTTGCAGTTCTGGGGATTAAGTCCAAGGCCTTGTGCATGCTAGGCAGGCACTCTACCACTGAGCTGTCCCCAGCCCACCTTAAATTTTAATATTTCAGATTTTAAAACTTTGGATTAGTATTCTCATTTTTAGCTTCACAACAGTTCTGTGAAATAATCAAGGCAAATATCTTCTGTGTTTTCAGAATTTTATATATCAAAGATCACATATTTCATAAACAATAGAGGAAGAATTTTGACCTTTTTTTTTTTTTTTCAATTCTAGGAATTGAACCCCCAGGCCTCATGCATGCCAAGCAAACTCTCTACCACTGAGCCACATCCCAAGCCCCAACTTTGACTTGTACTTAGAACAAATCAGTGACAACCTTGTTGGATTTTATGGAATTTGTGAATTTTTTTTAATGGAATTTGTGAATTAGTGAATTCTGAGTAGTTGTGCTTTCTTTTTTTTTTTTTTGTTTGGTACTGGGGATTGAATCCAGAGAGGCTTAGCCTCTGGGCCACATCCCCACCTCTTTTTATATTTTGTTTAGAGACAAAGTTTTGCTAGTTGCTAGGGCCTTACGAAGTTGCTGAGGTTGGCTTTGAACTCATGATCCTCCTGCCTCAGCCTCCCGAGCCCCTGGGATTACAGGCATGCAACACCTCACCCAGCCTTGCTGTCATTTCTTACTGCCTTTGTCACAGGAGTTTCCCTTTTTTGTTAAGATACTGCCCCATTTTTCCTTCTCTACTCCTATCTGTCATCCTTTATATTTGACTCTCATGTTTTTATTGCTCTGTTCCCAGAACACAATCTTCATAGTTCTGTTTCTATTTTTCTTATATCTTTTACCTTAATTACTGGCTTGTTTTCTCAATAAAGTGTGTACAAGTAATCTTCACTTTGCACAGTAGTGCAGGACAATGTGTGATGAAATCATGGAGTAATCTTGATTAGTTGGAAAATTACAGTCGTCGCACAACTTTTATATTTTTTTGTCTAAACATTCAAATCTCTTCCTGTTTCTTACAAAAGTATAGATAAATGAGAAAATATTAAAACTAATAAATGATTTAGTATCCTGTGATTCAAAACATCAGAAATATTGAGATTTAAAATGTTTTCTTTATGAAAACATAGCACAATCTCATAAAGTACTTGCCTCCTTCTTGTTATAAAACTTTTTGTACAGAGTGAGCATTTCTTCTTGCCTTGATAATTATCTTTTTAGATTTCCTTTCAACATTTTATACTTTGAACTTGAGTGTTTTTATTCTCTTAACTTCATTTATGTTCAATTCAAATTTCATTTCCAGGATTAATCAAATTTCATTTCTTTGCTCATCTTTTTTGGTCAGTTCCCTCTTTAGATTATCCATTTTTGTATGGCTTAATCACTGAAAGGAAGAAGGAGCAAAACTACATGCTTTACTTTCTGTGCATGTAAAGAATGACAGATATGCATTGACAAATCATTCAGATTTTGAAAGAAGGGATGTGGCCAGGCACAGTGGCGCACACCTGTGATCCCAGTGGCTTGGGAGGCTGAGGCAAGAGGATTGTGAGTTCAAAGCCAGCCCCAGCAATTTAGCAAGGCCCTAAGCAACTTAGCTAGACTCCATCTCAAAGTAAAAAATTTATAAGGGGATGGGGATTGGAGTTGTGCTTCTGTGATTAAGCACCCTAGGGCTTAATCCCTGGTACCAAAAAAAAAATGATCTGATTGGTCACTCATCATAATATATGTGTTTATCTGTGTAGAGATTTTTGGACTGAGAACCTTACAGTGAAGTGTTTATTTATGCATTATCCACAATTAACACATGGTAACTAAAATTTAAACCATGTTGTTGGGGGACTGGTGTCGTTTAAACCATGGTAACTGTAATTTCTATGTATATAGACAGTATAAAGTTAGAGCTGCATGTGTATGTGTACTTTTACACCTTTAGTTTTATCTGTATCTCTAGGCACATAATAGGTCATCAGGAAGGAAGAAGGGGAAGAAATAGTATCTCCATGAGAAAATTAGGTTTCTAAGCCGGATGTAGTGGCCCATGCCTATAATCCCAGTGACTTGGGAGGCTGAGGCAGGAGGATCACAAGTTTCAGAACAGCCCAGGCAACTTTGTGAGACCCTCTCTAAAAATTTTAGAAAGCTGGAGGATGGGGGTAAAGTGCCCCTGAGTTCTATCCCCAGTACAATAAACAAAACAACAACAACCAAAAAAACCCTCTATGTTTCTACTTTTTAAAATTGATGAATGAGAGCTAGGATTGTGGCTCAGTGGTAGAGTGCTTGCCTAGCATGTGTGAGGCACTGGGTTTGATCCTCAGCACCACATAAAAATAAATACATAAAAATAAAGATATCATGGGCTGGGGTTGTGGCTTAGGGGTAGAGCACTTGCCTTGCATGTGTGAGGCACTGGTTCAATCCTCAGCACCACATATAAATAAATTAAATAAAGGTATTGTGTTCATATACAACTAAAAAATATTTTTAAAAATTAAGGTATCATGTCCATCTACAACTAAAGAAAATATTTTAAAAATTGATGGTTGAGGGCTGGGCTTGTGGCTTAGTGGCAGAGTACTGTGCTGCTTAGCATGTGTGAGGAACTGAGTTTGATTCTCAGCACCACATACAAATAAATAAAATAAACGTCCATTGACAACTAAAAAAAAATTTTTTTAAATGATGAATGAGTGCATAGATGCTTTTGGTTTTCCTGTTCTGAATTATATAAAAATAAAACCCAATACTTCCAGAAAGTCACATGCAAATCTGAAACCTTACTTGCCTTATATTACAGGCTGACCTCTGTGTCCCTCGATTGAATGAAGGGGACCAAGTTGTACTAATTAATGGTCGGGACATTACAGAACATACCCATGATCAAGTTGTCCTATTTATTAAAGCTAGCTGTGAAAGACATTCTGGGGAACTCGTGCTTCTAGTTCGACCCAATGGTAAGTACTCTATGCAATACTGGCTATTTGTCATAATTCATTACTCTTTATTACTGGACATAACAGCCAGAGTGGGCTTTTAAAACATAAATCATGTCAGTTTCCTGCTCAAAGCACAATGGCCTCCATTCATACTTGGAGAAAAATCCAAATTCTTGGTTTCCTTACTTCTTTACTCATCTTGCTCATTCTCCTCAATTCTACTACACTCAGTGGCTTTCTTTTCTTTCTTTTTTCTTTTTTTTTCCTCCTACACTGGCTTTCTATTTCTTTCTTTTTTTAAATTTATTTATTATAATTAGGTATATACGACAGCAGAATGCATTTTAATTTATTATACACGATTGCAGCACAACTTTACATTTCTGTGGTTATATACTATGTAGCAGCTTTCTGTTTCTTAAATATTCTGATCTATTTCAGGGTCTTCATGTTTGCTGTTCCCTCTGCCTGATAAACTATTTTTTTTCTTTTTTATTTTATTTGTTCTTTTTAGATATATATGACATTAGAGTATATTTTGACACATACATACAGGGAGTTTAATTTATTCTAATTAGTGATCCCATTGTTGCAGTTGTACATGATGGAGTTTTACTGGTCACGTATTCATATGTGAACATAGGAAAGTTATGTCCAATTCATTCTGCCATCTTTTCTATTCCCATTCCCCCCCCTCCTTCATTCCCCTTTGTCTACTCCACTGAACTTCTCTTCTTCACTCCCCTGCTTATTGTGTCAGCATTCACATATTGGAGAGAACATTCAACCTTTGGTTTTTTGGGATTGTCTTTTTTCACTTAGCATAATAGTCTCCAGTTTCATCCATTCTGATAAACTATTCTTGATTTTTGTATGACTTTTGCCCTCACTTTATTCAGGTCTCTGCTAAAAGGTCATCTCAGAAAGGCTTTCTGTTTCTTAATCTATCATTAAAATAGCTTTTCACTTCCCCTAATTAGTTTAGTAGTAGTATTAAGTACCCAGTAAATTCTCAGTAGATGCATGAATAAATTTTGAATTCTGTTCCACTCCTAGAAAATTCCATAATAATCTCTAGTTTAAACAATTTGTGTTTTTAAATCTTGTCTAACTTTTCAGTAGGTAATGTGCACTTGCCTAATCATGTCATCTACTTATCTGGACTTGTTAATTCATAACCACAGATTCCTAGGTTTGAAGAAATGTCAGACCTCATAAGTTCTAGCCCCTTTGCCAATTGCACAGGTCTCTTCTACAGCAGCCTCAAAAACATCCTATCAATGTAGAGTACTCAGTGGTTCCTGAAGTAGTATATTCTGCCTTTACATGTTTGAATTGTTAATTGAATTAAAGTTTATCTTCCTTCAATCCCTTCATTACTAATTCTATCATTTAATTCTGTCATGCAGAATAAGTTTTTAATCTCTCTTCCTTCAATTTTTTTGGCAAGAGCTAATTTTACCAGAAATACCCTCCATGGTCACCAATTTAACAGTCACAGAGCCTTAAGCCATTGTTCATAGGGCATTGTTTTCAAGTTCCAAGAAAAAATTCCTGTGTAATAGCATTGAACATATTCTTCTAATTTTGTTCTGAACCTATTGTCCAGCACACCCAACCCTACAAAATTTTGCCAAGTTTTTTTTTTTATTAAAAAACAAAACAGAGCTAGGGATGTGGCTCAAGCAGTAGCATGCTCGCCTGGCATGCGCGGGGCACTGGGTTCGATCCTCAGCACCACATAAAAATAAAGATGTTGTGTCCACCGAAAACTAAAAAATAAATTAAAATTTTTTTAAAAAACCTCTCAATCTCTCGGATAAAACCAGGCACCTTAGGGACTAGGGTTGTGACTCAGTGGTAGAACATCACCTAGCATGTGTGAGGCACTGGGTTCAATTCTCAGCACCATATAAAAATAAATAAATAAAGATATTGTGTACAACTACAACTTAAAAAAATTAAATAAGATTAAGTTTTTTAAATAAGGCACTTTAATTTTGTCTTCTCTACTTTGACTTCTCTATTCATAGTCAGTTATAAGGACTTAAACAGATCATTCTATCTTGGTTTTTCAAAAAACTTGTTTATTTAGACCTGGCACTGAAGTGACTTATTCATTTCTAGGCATTTTCTGTCACTTAAAGCTTCCTAAGTTTTATACCAAGAATACTGTTCTTTGAATTTTACTTACTCTGTTTTTTCTTGATAATATCTCCTAAAGAACTTAAAAATAATGTGATTTTTAAACTTTCTATGTACATAGGCTCTTCTGTATGCTCTCATTTCATTCTCATGGCCATCCAGTGTGATAGTTGAAAATAATCCTCATTTTAAAATTGAATACACTTTGGTACAGGACATTCAGTTTTCTGTTCATGGATTCATGACTAGTGCAGAGCCAAAATATGAGCAAAAGACCATATGATGGCAAAGACATGGCCTTCTTAAAATTTCATATTGCCTGATTTACACTTTAATTTATGAGAGAAATCCACCTTTCTTGCAAAATGTTAGACTTTTTAAAAATATTTTTTAGTTGTAGATCGATGCAATATCTTTATTTTGTTTATTTTTATGTGGCGCTGAGGATCGAACTCAGTACCTCATATGTGCAAAGAAAGCACTCTGACACTGAGCCACAACCCCAGCCCAAAATGTTAAATCTTTCTAACATTGTTTTGTAGTCAAAATCTGGGCCAGGACCTCTATTCATTTTCACTGTGGGACCATCATGTCCATTTGAACTTAAAACAACTTATAATCAAAATTAAGTATGCTTACCAAGAATGTGCTTTTTATTTTCTGATCTTTTTCCCTCTAAGTCTTATTTCTTCTTAGGTAAACTAGTCTCTCTTTTTTTGTTGTTGTTGTTTTGTTTTGTCTTTGTGTTCTTCATTTCAGAAATTTATTTTTATCAAAAAATGCATACATATCTGAGAAGGAACCAGGCCTCCAGATAAGAGTAGCAGAGGTCTCAGCCTTGACTCCATATTTTAGAAAGCTTTTCTCTGTCTTTTCTTTAGCCATGTTCCTTCCAATAGGGTCAGGATTTTGCAAGGCCAACAAGATATGTCAAGCCATCACCTCTAACTTATCTCTCCTTTCTTAAACACTCTTTTTACCCCTCAATTATTTGTCCAAATACCCTGAAGCCACTTCTTAGGCCTTTGTAAGCATTTTCCACAGTCTCATTTCTCCCAACTGTGGATCTTGTGATATGTGTTCTCAAGGCAGCAAGGTAATTAAGAGGCAGTAAGTAGTTAGCAGACGAGTAGTGAAGACAGAGCACACATGTGGGCCAGGATGTTTACATGTGTGTTTATAGGTCCCCATGTTATGGAATGGGGCTAAGAAGGTGAAAAGAAATAGTGTATTCTATAGGCTTAGGGTCTAGGGACTGACTCTCCTCATACTATCATGACCATGAATCTGATTTAGAATTCTCTTTTTAAATCTGGCATCTCAGATTATTTTGTTGCTATGTCAAGGAAAGAAGATAGAGCATATATTGCTTATCATTTTGTCCAATATATTTGTAACTTACATTTAGACATTTGTCATATGAACTTCTATTTGTATTCTTGTCCTCAGTCCCCACAATTTAAGAATAGGTCTATTCATAGCTACATCTTAGCAGCATCATTTTTTCCTTAATGTTTCTTCAAGTTACAGACATTTTTAGGCTTCTGGCCAAAATCCTTTGTTTCCCCCACAGGTGCAGAAAAGCCCTTCAATTTCACAGCCACTCAGTTCCCACACCCTACATCAGATTAATATAATTAGTCAAAGTGAATTATTTTCTGACAAAAAACTAAAGAGCATATCGAATTCTTATAATGAATTACATTAAGATTTCTATGTGCATTTTTTGTTTTGTTTTAGCTGTGTATGATGTAGTGGAAGAAAAACTAGAAAATGAACCAGACTTCCAGTACATTCCTGAGAAAGCCCCACTAGATAGTGTCCATCAAGATGACCATTCCCTGCGGGAGTCAATGGTCCAGCTAGCTGAGGGGCTTATTACTGGAACGGTCCTGACACAATTTGATGTGAGTGATATCATTGTACAGAAAAAGTGTTTGCCCATATTTTCTAATTAGTTTCATGGTTTCTAACTGCCTAATCTACTTTCCATTATAATTTAGAAATAAAATGGTATCCTTAGAAATGTCTGATAATAAGAAGTTCCAAAATACAATTTTTTAAAAAATTGTTCCCATAATAATTGTTATGATTATATAAGTACAGGTTTGTTTTTAAAAAGAGGATAAAGGAATTTTATATCTATATCATCAGACTACATTTTTTTTCAATAATTAAGCGTCTGTTTTTATGAAAAGTAGAAGATGAAGATAAGCTATTACAGACTTTAAAATTATGAATTAAAGGAAAAATAACCTGTTTTGAAGTTTATACCTTGTTATATTTAATCTTTTTCTAACTTTGATCAGTGCAGTCTTTAAAACTCTTAAATAGTTTGCTGAATCAGAAGAACATGAATGCTTCTTCAGTACTTATAATCTGTATTTTGATTAGTAAGCATACAGAGGGTTTTAAAATGCTTTGCTAAGACTATGTGAACTTAATTTGCTTAATTTAGGAAAAGCAGGAGGTTTTTAATGTTTTTTAAAATGGCCATTATGAGTATTTGTTGCTCTGAAGAATAAGTTATGTGTTTGTAATGATAAAACATTAAAGACACATGTTGGTTTTTTCAGTCTTGGTTCATGTGCTGCAAACACCTCCAAATTAAATGAAAGTCAAGTGTCCTCTGCAGATGTGGTACTTAAAATTTTAGGTACTATTGCTGTATACAAAATTGTTTTCATCTGTTTTTGTTTTTTTTTTAATATCATATATTTAATTCTTCTCAGAACTACATAATTCAGCTTTCAAATTCTGGTTCAATACTCTAATAGGCCTAGGTACATCATTGTGTAGATGAAGTATTCAAAGGAAAAAAACCTATTTCCTTAAAGTACAGAAACAATTCTACAAAATAAAACAAATTGTTGGACTGAAGATTTTTTTTTTTTTATAGCAACTGTATCGTAAAAAACCTGGAATGACAATGTCTTGTGCCAAATTACCTCAGAATATTTCCAAAAATAGATACAGAGACATTTCGCCTTGTGAGTATCTATAATCTTTCCTAAATTTGATCTTTTTAACATAACTTTATTAGAACATTGTTTCTAGACTGGGGATTTAGCTCAGTGGTAGAGCATGTGCAAGGCCCTGGGTTCAATTCCAGCACCAAAACAAACAACAGAACAAAAACATTTCTTTTGAATTTTTACAGATGATGCTACACGGGTCATTTTAAAAGGTAATGAAGACTACATCAATGCAAACTATATAAATGTAAGTTGTTTTTTTAAAAATTATGTCTTTGTATTTGAAATAATAGGGACCACTCTAAGCTTTGGGATAAGGAATCTAACTTAGATGGAATATTTAAACTTGCAAATATTAAAACAATATTATAAAAGTAATGTTGAATAGTTTGATGTTAGTATATTAGTATATACATTGAACATTGAAATACAATACTTCAGAGATAGATAACCTAAATATTAAAATTTTTTATGCTAAATGTAGCCTTTTAAATCATTGGAAATACAACAGTCTATCTGAAATTTGGTGAACTGTCTAGAATTTACAATTGTAAGAAAGATTCTTTGCCCCCCGTTGAAGAGAAAAAAAAGGATCACTCCTATTTTTTCTTAACTTTGTAATATAGAAATTTTCAAAGGTATAAAGTTAGAACAAAACATAAAATGTGGGACTGAGGATGTGTAGCTCAATGGTAGAGCACTTGCCTAACGTGTGAGGCCCTGGATTTAATTCCCCACACCATTAGAAAAAAGATAAAAGTAAAATGAACCTTCATATACACATCTCTCAGCTTCAGCAGTTGTCAGTTCAGGGCCAATCTTGTTTCACCTATATCCCCACATTCAGATTGTTTGAGGTAAATCTGTATGTCATATCATTCTATGAATACCTATTCATCTCTTGATGCTGACATCTTTTGAAATACATCAAAATGTAAGTGTTAAAAACAGAACCATGAAAGTCCTTGAGAGAAATAATGAGAGAATTCTTTAATATTTCAGAAAGGGGGAGGTTTTATCAGCTTAGATACATGTCTAATCTATAAAAAAATATTGATGAATTTGGCAGTGTAAAATTTGTAATGTTTGGTATGCTTAAAAAGTACTAAAATCTAGTTATGCCCTGAATTTTTAAAATGCTAGAAAAGGCTTATTTCTTAAATATAAAAGAGCTCTATAAACAATTAAGAAGAATAAAGACTTGAAGTGAGCCATGGTGGCACATGCCTGTCATCGCAACAACTCAGAAGGCTAAAGGCAAGAGGAACACATTCTTGAGGCTAGCCTAGACAATTTAGCAAGACCCTGTCTCAAAATAAAAAAGGGCCAAGAATATATAGCTCTGTGGTAAAGCACCCTGGATTAAATTCTCAGTGACCTAAAAAATAAAGAAGAACTACTAGAGATGTAGTTAATGCTAAGGCACCACAGGGTTCAATCCCCAGTACCAAAAATAAATAAATACATATATACATACATAATACTTGGATGAGATTAATCAAATTATGTTATATGTATGTATGAATATAGCACAATGAATCCCACTATTATGTATAAGTATCGTGCACTAATAAACAAAGATGTGCACTTAAAGATGGAAAAGAGAGAGAGAGAGAAAATGGGCCTGGCATGGTCGGATACACCTGTAATCCCAGTGGCTCAGAAGGTTGAGGCAGGAGGGTCCCAAGTTCAAATCCAGCCTTAGAAAAATGATTATTCAATTAAAGTAGACATAGAACATAGAAAATTCAAAGAAAAGGAAATGCAGATGATGTTTTAAATTTCACGGCTATTTTCAAATACAAAAGTAGAATGGTATGAAGAGTCCTCTATGTTACCAGCTTCAAGAACTTTCAAAAGATGGCCAGTCTGATTTCATCTGAGCAGTACCCTCTAAAATTTTTAAGCCCACTTTGTCAATTCTGAGTATTTGAAATAGTTGAAGTTTTTGTGAATATTGAATTAGTGAATACTGAGTCATTGCTTCTAGAACAGTTATTGAATTAGGATTCAAATATAAGCCAAATCACAAAATTTTCATCATAACTTTGTTGCCATTTAAGGTATTTTATTAAATATATAATTAATTCATTGACACTGAACCTATAGCCCATAGTACTGCTGTAACTCATGCCTGAAGAATACTAATCTAAATATTCTCCATTGGGCATAAAAAAACATGCAAAAAAAGTGCAAAGCATTCTTAGGAACACTGCATAGTAGTGTTCTGCATTTATAAACAGAGAAATCACGAACAGAAAGCACCTAATGAAAAATATGGCAGTGTATAGCATGCAGAATGGTTACTTGTTTACAGATACGACGGCAGAAAGAGGAAGGCACTGAGTTGTTTTGTTTGATATCAGTTGGAAATATGCATATCTTGTGACTCAGATGTTTCACAACTCTGAACATGCTTACAGGTGACCAAGAAAGCACCTCAACTGTTCGGAAGTTACATATAAATTTCAGCAAGAAGTCAAATTTACAAATACAGAATCTGTGACTCAGGATTGGCTGCTTTAATGTGTACTTCTGACAAGGATTGTTTTATTTTAGCAAAACCACAATACCATTGTAACACTTAGAAACTGAGTTAAACAAATAGTATATTCAGCTTAATTTTTTAAAAAGTAAAAGTACAAATGGAAACTGTAGGGAAGCTGGGTGTGGTGATGCACACCTGTAATCCCAGCAACCCAAGAGTAAAGCAGGTAGATCACAAGTTTAAGCCCAGCCTCAGCAACCAAGCAAGGCCCTAAGCAACTTAGTGAAAACTGTCTCAAAATAAAAAATAAAAAGACTAGGGTTGTGGCTCAGTGATTAAGCGCTACTGGGTTCAATCTCTAGTGCCAAAGAAAAGAAGAAAAAAGAAACTGCAAGGAATTCCTGGGTTTGTTTGTTTGTTTTGTTTTGTTTTGTTTTATTGTTTTTTTACCTATGAGACTGAAAAATCAAAAAGTTTGATGATATCATATAGATGTAGAATAATATTATACTGCCATTTTTAAATAGCTTTACAGAACAAAAAGGAAGATGGCTTAACATTGGTGTGTTGTGTGCAGAATATATCTGAAAGTTTAGATCACAAATAAGAAAAAAAGGGCTGGGGGTGTAACTCAGTAGTAGAGCACTTGCCTAGCATGTGTGAGGCACTGGGTTGAAATCTCAACATTTCATATAAATAAATAAATACAGGCCCATTGACAACTAAAAAAAAGAAATGAGAAAAAAAATTACCCTCCTGGATTGCCCTATTAGAATGTTGCATCCTAAAGGCTGGGATGGAAGGCAGACTTCTTTTTCTATTCACCCTTTGGTATGCTTTGAATTTCAATTTGGTATGCACATATATCACCTTTATTTTTTTCCAACCTCATGTAGTATGATTCATTTTCTCAAATATTTGACTCATTCTGAAAAATTTTGAATACCTTTTAATACCCTTTAAGTTGTTATATATGTAAAATCCAAGCTATAACAAATGGCAGGGCTTTTCTTCCTCACAAGATTACAAATACGCTGTTTACAGGTAAATCTTTTTTAATTATTCACTAACTCTCTGCATTTGAAACAAGGTTCTCTCTCAAGCTACTTTTACAACCATGCTAGTGTTTTGGGAGATATTTATATTTAAATCCTGCTTTCCATTAATTAAAAGGTAAATATGTATAACTATTGGATATTGCTAAGAAATTTCTTCCACGGATACTGATAAAGATTGTTTTACTGCTGGGCACAGTGGCACACAACTAAAATCCCAAGGACTTGGGAGACTGAGACAGGAGGATTGCAAGTTCGAGGCCAGCCTCAGCAATTTAGCAAGGCCCTCTGCAACTTAGGGAGACCCTGTCTTAAAATAAAAAATTTTAAAAAGGTATGCAGGGGGATAGAGTTGTGGTTCAGTGGTAGAGTGCTTGCCCAGCATGCGTGAGGCACTGGGTTCAATCCCTGGTGCCACATAAAAATAAACAAATAAAATAAAGATATTGTGTTCATCTACAACTAAAAAAATATTTTAAAGGGGGTGGGGGAGCATGAGGATGTAGTTCATCAGTAAAATCCCCTGGGTTAAATCCTCAATACCGAAAATAAAATTAAAAAAAAAAAAAAGATTGTTGTACTGATTGCAATTTATTGAAATTAATTATGCTCAATCTCACAATTAATTAGTGAATCATTTTTATATTGCCAATCACAATAAAAAGTTGTAATACCGAAGTTTTATTTTAATGTTCTTTTCTTTTTAGATGGAAATTCCTTCTTCAAGCATTATCAATCAGTACATTGCTTGTCAAGGGCCGTTACCACACACTTGTGCAGATTTTTGGCAAATGACTTGGGAACAAGGCTCCTCCATGGTTGTAATGTTGACCACACAAGTTGAACGTGGCAGAGTAAGTTATAGTTTAATCTTGCACATTGTGCGGGCTTGTTTCAAATTACACTGAATAATAAAAATATTTTCATTGAGTTAATCTTTTGTAACCTTTAATCTTTTTTTATGATTTCATGATTTGAATCATTACAATTATGTGCTTAAAATTACGATTGACACATACTACTGTGACATAAGTGTTAGCTATTATTATTACCATTGTTATTATTTAAAAGGATTAATGTTTATGTAAGGAGTTTGTATATAAATATATAAAGAACTCCTATAACTTAACAATAAAATGACAATCTAGTTTTTTAAATGGGCAAAGCATCTGAATAGACAGTTACCCAAAGAAAATATTCCAGTGGCTAGTAAGCACATAAAAAATTACTTGATCACAGAGCTGGGGATATAGCTCAATTGGTGGAGTGTTTGCCTCACATGCACATGCACAGGCCCTGAATTCAATCCCCAGCACCACACACACACACACACACAAAAACTTGACCACATTAGTCATCAGGGAAGTGCAAATCAAATTAATAATGAGACCCCACTTCGTCATCAGTACATGAGTGAAATTAAAAAGACAGGTAACAATAAGTGTTGCTAATGATATAGAGAAAACAGAGTTTTCATACACTGCCTGTGGATTTGTAAAATGGTACAGTCACCTTAGAAAAGTCTGGTACTTCCTCAGAAAGTTAAACATGGCTTTACTACAACTCATCAACTTCATTCCTAGATGTACCAAAAGAATTGAAAACATGAACATGCAAAAATTTTGTTCACAAGCATTTGTAACAGTATTACTCAAAATAGCCAAAACATAGAAAGACTCACATGTGCCAAGAAACAGTAATATATTCGTATTGTTGGATACTTGGCAATAAAAAAAAAATGAGTACTTATATATACTTGCTACAACATGGATGAACCTAGAAAACATTTTGGCAAGTGAAAGAAGAGTTTTCCTCTTCTTTTTTTCTTCTTTTTTTTTCCTTTTTGGCCACATATTATATGATTATTTTTATATGGAATAGAGTAGGGACAGAAAGTAGATTAGTCATTGTCTAAATTCAGGTTGGGGAAAGGAAAATAGGTTCAGGTAGGATGCACAGTGACTACCAACAAGTATAAGGATTTTTTTGGGTGTCATGAAGATGTTCTGAAAGTGAATGTGTTCATGGTTACACACGTGTGGATATACTGAAACCAGCCATGGTAGCATATGCCTATAAGCTCAGCAATTCTAGAGCCTAAGCAAAGAAGATCCCAGTTAGAGTCCAGGCTCAGCAATTTAGCAAGATCCTGTCTCAAAATAAAAAGAGCTGAGGATGTAGCTCAGTGGTAAAGTGCCCCTCAGTTCAATCCCCAGTAACCTCTCAAAAAATAAAGTATACTTTTAATGGGTAAGCTATATGGTCATTAAAGCTAATTTTAAAATCTTAACACTGGGTCTGGAAGTATATAGCTCAAAAGCTCTGGATTTAATCCCCAGCACCAAAAAATGAAAATCTTTAAAAATTAATCAGATTATTTAGAGTCTCAAAATATGGCCAAATAGATTAATTATTGTTACAAGGGGTGAAAAATGACATAATGTTAATAGTTGATAGTTTTTTGTTTTTGTTTTTTGGTACCAGGGATTAAATTGAGGGGCTCTTGACCACTGAACCACATTCCTACCCCTATTTTGTATTTTATTTAGAGACAGGTCTCATTGTGTTGCTTAGTGCCTCACTTTTGCTGAGGCTGGCTTTGAACTCATGATCCTCCTGCCTCAGCCTCCTGAACCACTGGGATTACAGGCATGTGCCACCACGCCCTGCTAATAGTTGGTGGATCTTGAAAAAGAGTTAGTTAAATTATTATGAGAGTTCATTAAATTATTCTTGCATCCTTTTCTTAAGTCGGAAAGTTTTTTGGTTTTTTGGTATGGGGGATTGAATCCAGGGGCACTTAACCACTGAGCTACATCCCCAGCCCTTTTTATTTTATTTTATTTTTTTATTTTTAAAGAGAGAGAGAGAGAGAGTTTTTTTTAATATTTATTTTTTTTTTTTAGTTTTTTGGCGGACACAACATCTTTGTTTGTATGTGGTGCTGAGGATTGAACCCGGGCCACACGCATGCCAGGCGAGCGCACTACCACTTGAGCCACATTCCCCAGCCCCCCAGCCCTTTTTATATTTTATTTAGAGTCAAGGTCACCCTGAGTTGCTTAGGTCCTTGCTAAGATGCTGAGGCTAGCTTTGAATTCATGATCCTCTTGCCTCAGCCTCCCAAGCCACTGGGATTACAGGCATGTGCCAACACGCCAGGCTGAAAGTTCTTTTTTTAAATATATTTTTTAGTTGTAGCTGGACACAATTCCTTTATTTATTTTTATGTGGTGCTGAGGATTGAACCCAGTGCCTCATGTGTGCTAGGCAAGTGCTCTGCCACTGAACTACAGACCTGGCCCCCTGAAAGTTCTTAAAAATTAAAATATTTTAAAAATTTGGAGAAACTGGGTTGAGGATGTGGCTTTGTGGTAGATTGCTTGCCTATCATGCACAAGGCCCTGTGTTCAATCTCCAGCACCACAAAAAAAAAAAAAAGAAAGAACTTAAGTTGATATATGTATGTATGTGTGGGTGTGATTTTCTTTGTTTATTTTGTGTGTGTGTGTATAATTTCTTTGTTTATATAATTCTGTTGATACCAGGTTAAATGTCATCAGTATTGGCCAGAACCCACAGGTAGTTCGTCCTATGGATGCTATCAAGTTACCTGCCATTCAGAAGAAGGAAATGCTGCCTATATCTTCAGGAATATGACACTGTTCAACCAAGAGGTAAGAAGGCAGGGTGTCCATTTGCTAGAACTGTGTTTAAAGTAAAGACTTTGAAAGCTGAAATGTGTTTTAGCCAGAAAAACATCACAAAAATTACTAACCTGTTTTGATGGGACACTCTGGAATTATATTTTCCTATACTATAATAAATGCATTTTCAATTTCTACTGCCAAAAATTAGTTGTCAGTATAAAAGCAGTCTGGTTAATATTATTTATTACTATTTACTACTTTGTCTGTTCATGATGATTATACCAGGAGTTTGTTTGATTACTAAAAAATTCTCTCTGGGAGTAATATAGTAAAATATTTGTGTATTTGTGAATATGAAAAAGTAATTGAAAGCTGTCAAATTGTTTCTTTTTTCAAAAGAATAGAGGCGAACACAATCCCCTCAATATTAAGGAAGAAAAATTCATAGGCAAGACCTTCCTATAGGTTAGAGCTTTCTACCTGCTAGTTCTTCTTAGTTCTAACTGGGTTACGCACATTGGCTACCAAAGCCAGAAATGGGGATTGATTAGTAAATGATGGCTCAGTACTCCAATTAGAAGATGTGTGTAGAGGGCATGATGAGGCTGTTAGAGACAGTATCCCATATTCACTGTCAGCAGCTAGGTATTCCGGTGCTGGCCACCTGTGGTTTTGGAGGGAGCCAAAAGAAGTAACTTCTAGAGAAAAGCAAACAGCATAAACCATAAAGGCCTATGCCTCTCCCATAAATGGTTAAACCTTTGGAAATGGAAACTATAACCCTTCTCCAAATTTATGATTAAAAGAGACCAGAGACAAGAACCTTTCTTGCCAAAAGGGAAGGAGCCAGAGTTGTGTTATTTATAGAAAAGGAATCTGGTGGGTTGGGATGTAGCTCAGTGATTGAGCACTTACCTCGCATGTTTGAGGCCCGAGGTTCAACTCCTAGTACCACAAAAGAAAAAAGTCTTACTGGGCACAGTGGTGCATATCTGTAATCCCAGTGACTCAGGAGGCTAAGGTAAAAGGATCACAAGTTTGAGACCAGCCTCAGCAATTTAGGAGGCCCTCAGCAACTTAGCAAGACCCAATCTCAAATTTTTTAAAAAGGAGAATGGGGCGGGAATGTAGCTCAGTGGTAAAGTGCCCCTGGGTTCAATCCCCAGTACCAAAAGAAAAGAAAAGCCTTCAGCTATTGAATGAAGGTAAAGTCTGAAAATAAAAAGTTAAATTTTATTCAGATCAGAATGAATTTAAGGGGCTTAGGGGGATATACTCATGGTCTAATATATTCTCCCTAATTGATAATGAAAGATAATCTGTGTGTTTATATAAAATAATATCTGGGGCTGGGGTTCAGTTTGTGGTTCATTGGTGGAGCGCTTGCCTCTCATATGTGTGAGACACTGGGTTTTATCCTCAGCATTGTATATAAATAAATGAATAAAATAAAGGTCCATCAATAACTAAAAAAATATTTTAAAAAATAATATCTGTCTTCAATGTAGACTCTACTTGGTGCAGTAGTGTATGCCTGTAATCCCAGATATAGGCAGGAGGATTGCAAATTCAAGGCCAATCTAGGCAACTTAATGAAACTCTGTCTCAAAATAATACTTTATAAATAATGACTGTGGGCTTATCTCAGTGGTAGATCACTTGCCTAGCATGCTTGAGGCCCTGGGTTCAATCCCCAATACTGCAAAAAGTAAAAAACAGTCTTTTTATTATACTCTACCTGTAGATTAGCACCTGAATAGTAGTTTATTGAATAGTGGCTTTTCTTTGTATACCCTGAGTACCTTAGAAACTATGCTAAGTCATGTTTCTAATGTTTGAACCACATATAATTGGGAAAATAAATTTGCATGTGTATGTAAATACATCCATACGTTAATGGACACTGGTCAGACAGACAACACTACCTAATCTTATATATCTTTTGCTTTCTTAACCACTAAGCTACATCCCCAACCCTTTTTCTTGATTTTGATACAAGGTCACCCCAAGTTGCCTATGGTCTTGTTAATGGTTGGCTTGCTATGGCTGGCTTTGAACTTGTCGCAGCCTCCCAAGTCACTGGGATTACCCGCATGCACCACCATGCCCCATTACTTTTCATAGTATTTTTCTGGAAACCTCTCCGCATGCACACTTTTTTTTTTTTTTTTTTTTTTTTTTGGTACCAGAAGATTGAACTCAGGGGCTATTAACCACAGACTCACATCCCCAGTCCTTTTTATTCTTTTTATTTTGAAACAAGGTCTTGTTGAATTGCTTAGGGCTTCACAAGTTGCTGAGGCTGGCTTTGAATTTATATCCTGCCTCAGCCTCCTGAGTTGCTGGGATTACAGGTGTGCACCACTGGCAGTTGTGCTCCCTTTAATATAAATGGCAATAACCAGTTTTCATAATGTTGAACGACTAGCTACCTGTTAATTGTGTCTATGATGTCAAGTAACGGGGTGATTTACAGGTCATTTTATGGAGTCTTTTCAACATTAAGATTATCCCTTAAATGTATAGATGTCCTTTTTCAAGTGAAGGAAGAAGTGAGGCTCTGAAATATTAAATTCCATCCTGACATAGTCAAGACTTGAATCAAGATGTATCTAAGAGTCTTACTCTCTCTATTAGCTCTCCAAAAGGAATAATCACTGGTTTGATCTAGGGATTAATTAATGTCTGGTGATTTTTTGATCTCCAGTTTTTAATCTACATTTATTTTTTTTAATTTCCAAAATTTTATCTGAGTTGTGTCAGGATTAGCTCAGCTTTGTGCCCCATCCAAAAAATATATTTATTTTTTACTTTACCATTTTTGCTCAATTAACAGATCTTTAGTTAAATCTTTTTATTGGTTGTTCAAAACATTACAATGCTCTTGACATATCATATTTCATACATTTGATTCAAGTGGGTTATGAACTCCCATTTTTACCACGTATACAGATTGCAGATTCACATTGGTTACACATCCACGTTTATACATACTGCCATACTAGTGTCTGTTGTTAAATCTTTAAGCATTCCTCTGGATATTTGATTTTGTAAGTTTGCTTGATTATCATCATTTTAAAACTATAAATACAGATATTGAGTTATAAAAAGGCATCGATGTAAGTAGCCAATAAGATAGATACACCTGTTTCCATAAAATAGTTTATCTCTTATTTGTTGCAATTTAGGATATTAATGGGTTTATGCATTACTTCTTTGTGGGGGAGGAAAAGGAGTTGGTTTTGCTCTCCCTCTAAAATTAAAATGACATGAATATTTATATTTTAAAGATAATTCCTAAGTCAAGGTAAATAATTTTTCTTTTATACTTAGAAAAATGAGAGTCGTCAACTCACTCAGATCCAGTACATAGCCTGGCCTGACCATGGAGTCCCTGATGATTCAAGTGACTTTCTGGATTTTGTTTGTCATGTACGAAATAAGAGGGCTGGCAAAGAAGAACCTATTGTTGTTCATTGCAGGTATTCTATTTCCTGTCTTTTATGAATGAATAACTGACTTGATATATTATTTTTATTATAAGGGAATAGGTATTTTATTGCACCCCTTATGTTGTGATTGCCACAGTGACTAATTACTCATAGCTGTGCTCTGATGTAGAAAACAAAGGATATGTTCTAATGTTAATATTTGGCAGAAACTTTGTGATAAGACATAAAAATAATTATTATTGCACGAATTCTGAGAAGCTTTTGTATTTTAGCATTGCTGAAATTGTAATTTAGATCTGATGATATACAATATTGTAGAAATATTATAGATTGTCTTAGTCTATTTGTGCTGCTCTAAAAAAATACTAAAGGGCTGGGGTTGTGACTCAGTGGTAGAACACTTGCCTAGCACATTTGACTCGCTGGGTTCAATCCTCAGCACCACATATAAATCAGTAAAATAAAGGTTTATTGACAACTAAAAAAGTATTTAAAGAAAAAGAAAATACCTAAGACTAAGTAAGTTATAAATAACAGAAATTTAGTTGGATGTGTGGAGGCACATGCCTATAATCTCAGCAACTTAATGAGTCCCTAAGCAATTTAGTGAGACCCTGTCTTTAAATAAAAAGGGCTGGGGATGTGGCTCAGTGAGTAAGTACTCCTGAAGTCAATCCCTATAAAACCCCCGCCTCCCCCCCAAAAAATACAGAAATTTATTTCTTAGAGTTCTAGAGGCTGGAAAATCCAAGATCAAGGATCTGATACTGCAAATTCAGTATCAGATGAGGGCTATTCTCTGCTTCCAAGATGGTCCCTTATTTCTGCATCCTCCAGAGAGAGCAAATGCTGTGTCCTTATGGCAGAAGGGATAGAAGATATAGAAATGTGAACTCACTCCCTCAAGCTGTTTTATAAGACCCCTGATGCCATCTGTGAGGGCTGTACTTTCATGAGTTAATCACTTCCTATATGCCCTGCCTCTTAATACTATCACAATTAAGTTTCAGCATGGGGCTGGGGATATAGCTCAGTTGGTAGAGTGCTTGCCTCACATGCAGAGGCCCTGGGTTCAATCCCCAGCAACACACACACACACACACACACACACACACACACACAATTTCGACATGAATTTTGAGGCACACATTTTGAGGCATACATTCAGATCATTACCTATACATTAGGATGCAGTCTGCAGTTTAGATTTTCTCCTTCCCAGCAAGGTATTCTTGTCTTTCCTGTGACCCCTCTTAGGATACTCATTGAGTGCTCCCACATCTCTTGGAATGAGCCTACCAAATGGGTTTATAGGACATGTCATTCCCAATATTTCTAGGTGAACAGTGGCAGGCTACCTTTCCTTCCTTTCACCCCAGGTCTCCTTCAGTCCTCAAAGAGCCAAACACTGTGACTCCAACCTTCACTTCCACTGACCCAGAGATTGGGATACAGAAATTATTTTCTTCCTTTCATAACCATGTTTTAAAGTGCTTTATTTGGAGGATAGTTTGAGATAACTCACCTTTTCAGCACATTGTAAGAGCAAACTTTCGGATCATTAAAACAGATCATAGAACAAATATTTGAGAGGCAAAGTGACAAGAATGATGAAACACGTGGCCATCCCATATCCTAAGACTCTAGTAGCTACCACATTCTTGTTTACAGATCATACTTCCAAAAGTTCTTAACTATCCAGAGGTAACTTAATTTTTTTAGAAAACCCTAATTTGTCTAAGGTATAAAATAGTGCTGTCTTCTACACATTTGTTAATGATTATTATAATTCTCTTGTTATGTTTTTTAAGGGAAGTTGCTCCAATGAGCTTATACCTTGTTTAGAAGTTAACTTACTACTTCTCTAATATAAAACCTTAAAATGAAATTATTCTTCAATATTATTCAGTATTTTGATTTTTCTGCACTAAAATCACAAGAATTTTAATAGAATATTATCAGTAAGACCTTGCCCATATTTATCTTTTTTAGTGCTGGAATTGGAAGAACTGGGGTTCTTATTACTATGGAAACAGCCATGTGTCTCATTGAATGCAATCAGCCAGTTTATCCACTAGATATTGTAAGAACAATGAGAGATCAACGAGCCATGATGATCCAAACACCTGTAAGTACTGTATTTCATGTGCACATGTGAATCTTCAATGATGGTTTTTGTTATCAGTGTATATTTTAAGTTTTATTCTGAGTCATATTTTTATCTTTTTAATTCCTTATCAGCAGCTAATAACCTTTTGCCTGTGAATCACATCTGACTTCCCCCTCACTTTTTTTTTTTTTTTTTTTTTGAATCTTTAATAGAACCCAGCCATGTTCAATTGTTAATGATTGTCTTTGGCTGGTTTTATACCACTTCAACATTGAGCATAGTTGACAAGTTGCAACAGATACCATATGGTCTAATCTTTTTTTGTTGTTGTTTTTATTTATTTATTCATTTACTTTTTGGCAGAAGGTACCAAGGACACTTTACCACTGAACTATATATCCTCAGCCATTTCTATTTTTATTTTGTTTCAGGGGCTCAGCAAGTCACTGAGTTTGCCCCAAAACTTTGATCCTCCTGATTCAGCCTCCTGAGTCACTAGAATTAACAGGCATGTGCCACCATGCCTAGCTATGGCCTGCAATTTCTAAAATATTTAACATCTGGCCTTTTACAGAGACAGTTTTTGCCAACATGCAAGTGGCCTGGCATATTATTTCTTAAGTATTACAACAGATGCAGAGGAATGTGTCTTATATTGCTTAGTCGAGAAGAATGCTCACAATGATAGTACAACTGAACTGGAGAATCCTGGTAGGCTTGCTTTCAGTGAAACAGCTGTGGTGGAAGGCCTTTCTTTTTCACATAAGAACTTAAATTCCTCCAACAAAAATATTCTGTAAATCAAGCTACTTATCATTCTCCACTGACCTTTTTTTTTTTTTTTTTTTGTACTGAGGATTGAACCCAGGGGCGCTTTGCCCCTGCTTCACATTTAGAGCACATAGGTCAAGTAATCTTATTGACACTAGTAATGCTAAAATAATCTTAGCCTGGTGTGGTGGTACATGCCTGTAATCCCAGCAGCTCAAGAGGCAGAGGCCCGAAGACCTCAAGTTCAATGCCAGTCTCAGCAATTTAGTGAGATCCTATCTCAAAATAAAAAATTAAAAAGGCTGGGGATGTAGTGGTAAAGTACCTGGGTTTGGTCTCTGGTACCAAAATCATCATCATAATCTTAATACTATAAAATTTCATGTTTCTTGGAGCATACTTAAGAGTCATTGGAGTCAGATGTGGTGGCACTCCCTTGTAATCCCTGCAACTGAGGAAACTTTTCTCTTTTTTATGATTTTTATAACTCCTCTGAATCTCTTACATTCAATTCTATATGAATTTTAGAATCAGTTTGTCCTTTTTACCTAAAAAAGCCAACTAGACAAATATAAGATTGTCCTATTTATTTATGTATTTCTTTCAATGATATTTTGTAGTTTTCACTGTAAAAGTGTCATATTTTAGTCTTTGTGGAGCTACTGTGAGTAGAATTATTTACTTAATTTCATTTTAGAACTGTTTGTTGCTAAGGTATAGAAATGCAATTGATTTTGTATATTGATCACATATTCTTCAACCTTGCTGAAATCATTTATTAACCAGTAATTTGGTGTGCATGAGAGTAAATTTTTTAGAATTAGAATGTCATTTTTCAAACCTGATGAATTAATAGATGTAGGCATTGATCACTCCGTGCTAATATCACAAAAAGAAAGACAGATGTGTGTTTTTGAATAAAGAATAAAACACCTAAGCTGCTAAAGTCTATGGATCCACTTAACACTTTTAGGAAATAGAACACCACCTTGATGTAAATCAGCAAAATCCATCAGTGGACATTTATGTTGCTTTTTCTACCTTTTGTCTATTGTGAGTAATGCTGCTATGAACGTGGGTTATATCTCAAGACCCCACTTTTCATTCCTTCAGGTATACACCAACAGGTAGAATTACAAGATCATAACATTCATGATGGGCTTTTTTTTTTTTTAATTTTTTAGTTGTTGAAGGACCTTTATTTAATTAATTTATTTATTTGTGGTGCTGAGAATCAAACCCAGTGCCTCACACATGCAAGCAAGTGTTCCACTTCCACCACTGACCACAACCCCAGCCCCACTGAGCCATAACCCCAGCCCCTCGTGATGGGCTTTTGTTTTTATAATTTGTATAAAATCAGGAGTCAGATATGTCTACTCACATTGATTAGTTATGTTTCCTAAGTGCCTCTTAAGTGAAATCTTCCTCCCCTGATTATTTTTGCCATATAGTTCCCCACTATCTAGATTTTGTTGATTTATATCATCAAAGTGGTGTTCTATTTCCTAAAAGTGATAAGTGGATCCATAGACTTTAGCAGCGTGTTTTTTGTTTCTTCAGAAGCACATATCTGTCTATCTGTCTGTCTGTCTTTTTGTGATATTAGTACCCTCAAGTAATCAATGCCTTCATCCATAAATTCATCAGGTTTGAAAAATTATATTCTCATTCTGTCTTTCTTCATTTATCAGCTGGAATAATTGTTTAAAGAGAAACTTCTTGGGCTAGGAATGTAGCTCAGTAGTAGAGTGCTTGCCTGGTTTGTGCAAGACCTCAAAAAAAATAAATAAATAAAATGAAACTTCTCATCTTGGCCAGTGAGTGGAATAGTGTTTGTATGAAAGGCAATATAAATGTGATTACCTGATTCTTACCCTTTATTTATTTATAAGTTTTCTCTTTTTCCTTGGTCGGGGATAAAACCCAGGACCTCAAGAAGTCCTGGTTCTTGCCCAGCCTGGCGTCACATGCCTGTTATCTCAATGACTTGGGAGGCTTAGGCAGAAAGATCACAAATTTGAGGCCAGCCTGGGACAGTTAGAGCCTATATCAAAATTTAAAAAAAAAAAAAAAGGCGGGGGGGGGGGCTAAGGATGTAATTCAGTGGGGAAAAAGAAAGTCCTGGTGCTTACTAGTGAGAGATGCTTTTAGGCACCACCCTCTAAGCACTAGAGAGTTCTATTGTTATTGGGTTTTATTTGTCTCTCGAAATGCTCAGTTGGCTGAGCTAGGAAAGTATACGTACCATGAGTTTGCCCATCTAGGACCACAGTAATTTTACTTAACCTCTTTTATCTTACATCATATCTCCTCTTTTCTTTAACAAAAATACTAGTTTTCTACAAACTAGAAAAAGAAATTGAAAACACATATTCGTTTTGTGATTATTTACAATAATCACAATTTGTCTTTTGGACTTACTGGAAGTGGGATTGATGGGTCAGAAGGTAAATTAATGTAATTTTATAGATGCTTTCAAATTCTTCTTTTTAGGGGTTACAGCACTTTAACATCCCTATCCACAACATATGAGTTTTGCCAACAAAATCTTCTATTTTCAGACTTTAGGTTTTGCCAATTAATTGATAAAAAATGCTGTCAATATTTTTCACTTTGAATTTCTTTTTTTTTTAAGAAATGTCCTTTTTAAGAAATGTCCTTTTTTAAGAAATGTTGATGGACCTTTATTTTATTCATTTATTTATCTGTGGTGCTGAGAATCAAACCCAGTGCCTCACACATGCAAGGCAAATGCTCTACCACTGAGCTACAACCCCAGCCCTGAATTTCTTTTATAAGCAAGCCAAGTGAGATGTTTATGTTTTGGTATGGTCTGTTTTGAGGGTTTTTTGATCAATTCTATTTTTTATGTTTTCTTTTTCAGAGTCAATACAGATTTGTATGTGAAGCTATTTTGAAGGTTTATGAAGAAGGCTTTATTAAACCCTTAACGACATCGTCAAATAAATAAGAAAAGATCTGAAATACATGTTGGAAAACTGCTATTCATTATATTTCATTATATTCACTGTGCCATGACACTGCTTGCAGGAAATGGCATCTCACAAAAAAACGAAGAACTAAAAAAAAAAAAGAACTTTGAAAACTTCAGCACTGTTGCACTTTATGTTTTAAAAAAAAGTCAACCCTTCAGAATCTATAACTCATGTGTTGGAAGACTATTTCATGCTTTGCTCCGAACAAATAGTGAATAACTGAGTATGTTCAGGGTAATTTATGAAAATTTGTGGTGGTGCCATGCAGTCCCCTTCTGGTAGAATTGCCACAAGCGAGGCTCAGAATCCTCATCATCTTTGTTGTACACCTGTATCTTGAAAGCAAAAAGAAGTAAATATCAGGAGTCAGCTCTGGCTTTCTTTTTTCCAGTGGATCGTGTACTTACTATACTGATTATCAGATTTTATTTTTAAGATTTTAGCAATATCATTCTCAATATTAGCCAATACACTGCCTATGGATGCAGCACATCTTTCCCTACATGCCCCCTCTAGAGACCTGCTGTTCAGAAGAAGAAAGGTGGAATTTGCTATTCCCAGGAAATGCTGCACATTGTCCATTTACCAGCATCTTATAAAAAGTATAGATATGAATCTACAAATTTTCTTGAATTTAATAATGTAATTATATTTATCATAAGGTTGGCTTATTCCAAATCATGTGATTTCATATACTTGATGTAAAGGAATGCATGCATTGTGTCTTAACCCCTTAAGTGCCTTGAGACATCTTTGTATGTCTAATGAAAGGCACTCATTTGACCCCACTAGGAGGTATGTAAGTATATTGTACATTCTTACATTTTTATGCATTTTGAATAAGTTCACATTTTAAAAACAGGCTTCTTGTATTGAGAGTTATGCAGTCAAAAAAGGGTAAGGAAATTCTATTTCTTACTCAATACTTGTATTTTGCCATAAGAAGCAAAAATACTTCGTGTTCTACTGAGTGCACGCTCTGCTGCTACAGAATTGTTCAAAATATGCACATTCCTTTACTGCGGGACAGGGGTTACAGTTAAGCAGCTCAACTTAAAAAGATGCTTTATTCTTCAAATTTCATATTTATTTTATCCCTGACTTTAGAAGTGGCATCTGATAAAATACTGGGACTCTAAGCTATAGAGCAATTAATTAATTTTGATTCATTCCTATCCATAACTAAAATATTTCTCCTTAGCATTCATTTTAGTTAATATGAAGCCTTTTTCGCACTGGTATTTTGGTTGGGATTCTTCAAGTGAGAAATATTATTGAGTCTAAATATAACCCTTCCTTAACTAAAATGAGGGTTTTCTTGTCACTTTGTGTACAATTAAATTATTTCAGTTTATATATACTTATTAAATTATAAGCATGTTATATAAGGAGTCTTTTGATTATCCAATCTGATTGAGGATCTGATTCCCATTAAGGATATATCTGTTTCCCTCTTCAGGTGTTTTGGATTTCAAGTCTACAGAGATGGAACTTTAATATTGCCCAATTTAAGTGAAAATTTGCATGTCTATTTAAATATTATTTTACATAAATATTTTATATGGATATGGTTAAAATAGATTCATTTACTAGTGGTTTCTGAATATTTATAGTTTTGATAAAGTTTAGAGTCTAATGGTTGGTATTTTGGAATGCCATTTAGTATGAAGGGGAAAATGTACATTTAAAAATCTTTAGTAAAATCTAAATGATGTCATTTCACATTCAAAAATCCATCATAATACATTTCAGAAAGTTAAACTCCTAAACATTAATAGCCCAGATACCAAATAAATTATATTAAAATACTTCTAAGTCTTTTTTTAGAGAGAGAAGTAAACATAATCTTTATGTTCTCATCTATTTTCTGATTTCAGTCAAGACAGTATAAAATAGTAAGTGAACTATTGACTTATTTGAACATTCCATTCTGTACCAACAGATAAATGTAAATTAGGCTGCTGTATGACATCATGACAAGTTGAAAAATGAAAAAGGAAAGACACGTTGGGGGTCTACATATGAAATAACTGTTTTTGAATTTATTTTTTGTGTGTATTAAAAAAGTCTCTGCTAACTGGACAGAAAATGACAGTCACAGTCAAAAAGACAACAGTTATGTAGACATAAACAGGCAGATGTCTTGCTTGGCATGTTCTTTAACTACGGCTTTGTTTACATTTCCCAGGTTAACTAATTGTTGGCAATGAGCACTGCTGCCTTTTTAAATCATTAATGCCTGTCTTGAAATGCCAATGTGTTAGAGGTGTAGAATTACATTTAAATTTCTCATGTATGCATTTTTCATCTGGGAGCTACGCTTTGTCAGTGTTTGTTTGTATGTACAAAAGGATCCTTTTTAAACATATATTAGGATATTACTTAAATTATCCTTCACAGCTTCTAAAATGACTACTCTAATTAAGCTTCCCTGTTTACCTAACAGCAAAGTCTTTATCCATTACACATAAGAATTTTTTAACCTGTTTCAATCTAAATAGGTTTCTAGAAATAATGGTGGCTTTTGTACACCAAGTTGAGTAGTTCTAGACTCCGTCCATATCAATGTAATGTTGTGTGGTAAATTTCACGTTTCTTGTATCTAAGCTACTCTCCCAGTCGTGGTCACCCCTGCCTCCATACCATTATACACTCAAGAAAGAATGCTGACTTTTATTCTGACAAGTGGAAATCAGAATTGGTGATTCAAGGAGCTTTTGTAAATGCAAGTATTAGTAGAGAACTTCCCTCTCCGATTTCAAATGCTTTTTCTGTGTTCATTTTATTTGTATCTTATTTTATTAGCATCTGATTTGTGTTGGCATGGTATAGACAGGCTGAAGAATATTTTGGAATAATCTTTGCATTCACAAGAAGAATTGGTTGGATTTGTCAAACTGATACAACCATCCAGAATTGAGGCAGAGTAAACATCTCAGAAAAATTTCCTTTGTCTGGCCTATTAGGACAAATAGAAGGAAGACAGATGGTTGATCATTTTGATTTAAGAATACAGAGAACATTTATTATATGAAAACTGACTTCAAATGCACAAAGTTACATTAAGGCATTAAAATGATTGCTTGAAAGTTTCAGGTACAAATATATATATATATATATATATATATATATATATATATATATATCATAGAGATACTTTAGTGCATTTGTTTACACATTTCGTTAAAGTTAATGCCCACAAACAGGAAGAACAGACTGTTTAAAGTACAAGGTCTTTGAGCATCAATTAGCAGGTCTGATCAGGTCTAATCAGGAATTTGAGAAAAAAGTCTTGTCTCCTGTCTCAAGTACAACTTGAGAGCAGAAAGAAGATGGAAAGATTTTTTTCCCCCAATCTCCACTTCCCTTATTATAGCAAGGAAACAGAGACCCAGCAACAGTAATTGATTTAGCAAAGTCTCATTTTGTACAGTCTAAGTTTCCTAATTCTCAATATGGTGTTCTCTATGTTATACTAGAACTTCAGTAATTGTAACCTATGTGAATATCATAAATTCTTGTGAATTTTAGTCTGTTTCAACTTGAGAAGCATACTCAGTGTTTTTGCTTCATAACTATGACAACCTTAGGAGATGTCGCTTAAGTTAGAAAATAAGTAGGCTGCAGTAGTGATCCTAATTAGGACCCTGACTCACTCATGCTTCCTTGTCAGAGAACATAAGCTTTTGTGAAGTATTGAGGCTGATACAAATGCAATATAAAAGCATTCTGGACTGCAAGTAGAAGACTAATTTTTAAAAACACTTAAAACACAGAACTAAGATTTAAATGTATGTCCATTTATAGTGAAATAATTTATGTTCATTATGTGAACATGTAATAGAAATAAAAGCATTATTTATCTTATAATCTGATCATGAAGGGAGAAGGGAATACGAATTTATAACAATGTGCTATTTAATATCTGTATTTTGAAAATATTTAAAATATTCTATTGGTAAGGTTGCCAAAGTAGTTTTGAATTCATAAAAGTTATAATAATGTGGGATATGTTTACAGGTTCTTTCATTTGGTAGTAATTTTCATAGTTCAGATTAATTTGCATTTAAAGTCACTTGTAGTAAGTACATTATGGTAAATGTTTGTTTGAATAAACATCTTGATATGACAAGATGTATATGAGTGATACCATAGCCTGCTTTTATATAAGCTGCCACATAAACAAACTGAGTACTTCATATGAAGATTGCTTATTTCCCACATTTGCTTCAGTTAAACAACCACAGTTTCTGGAACTGTTTGTTGTGGTGCTTCTTCCAAATGAAATAGCTCTGTTTTTACAATCCACTAGGTTAATTTCATCAAATATTGGATTTACTGATCTGTTGGCAAAGATTTATTATTAGTGTCTCAGTGTGGTCACAATACAAATTGTAGCAACTATTTTATAAAAGTCTTAAACATATAGATAAAAGGAATTTTCTTAATCCTAAAGCATTTTGAGGGCTGCTTGCTGATCGATATTTCATCAATTTGAAGAGCCCAAGAAATGAATTCCTAAATTGTATGTTTGGGGTTCAGTTTTCTTTACAATGCCTACAACAATTATCAACATTATTATATGCAGTCTTCAACTATTTTTTAGTAGCAATTATTATTATAAGCCTTTTGATGTTGTTAGAAATAGCAATCCCTATTTCTGCCCAAAATTAGACACTTTTATTTCACAATATTGGTGAATTTGTTTTGGGTAGACAACAAAATACTACTTGTTTCTATATATAAATTTGCTGCTATTTATTTTTATGTTTTTCTACTCTAGTATATTGTTGATTTCTGAAATTTAAGTTACAATTGTTTTTATTTTAGTCATCCAAGCTAAGTGGTCAGCCATAGTACTATCTACTTGGGTGTAATCTGTCTGCATTAGTTAGACATAGTTCAGTGCATAAATAAACAAATTTTTCTTTTAATTTGCAAAGTGAAAGTTACTAGCAATCTTACAAGTTAAAGCTACAATTTTAGGGAAGAGTTCAAACATTTAACTTCCTGAAACCTTTTAAAATTTCCAGTACAAGAATGGAAATGTTTGAAAGCCTTCTTTAGCTCACAAAAGTTTTAGTTAAACACTGTAACAGAGTTTTCCTATCTGTTGTTGTGTAAATGATATAGAAAATATTTTTCTATGGAAAAAAGTTGAAAATGTTAACTTTAATTGTTAAAAAGGGATAAAATGATATTTGTATGTCTTTCATGCTGTAAAGAAAATGAATGTATCTTTCAAATGTTATTAGAATTATGACTTGATTCTAAGGATACTCATTTTTTAACAAAAAAAAAGCCTGCAAAAGGATTGGAAAGAAGAAAGGGAGGAGTATTACACATTATAAAAAATGCAATTTTAGATG